AATTAGGTAAGGCAATTTCTTAACTAAGTGGACTTTAATTTGGATTTAGTTTAAAGTATTTTTAAACTTAACCCATCTAAATAATAATATATACGGGTTAAGTATCCTTTTGTTCCTTTGAAAAACTAAAAAAAAAAAAAATGTCACACCAAAGTATGGATGTGCAGATATGGTGTGGGCTAATGACTGACCAAGAATTGAAGATGAATCAGAAGAAAATGAAAAAAAACAAAAATAAAAAGGGGAAAGATTGTGATATTCTGAACATCACTATCTTGGATGATTATCCTAAATAAGTTGTGTGGGAAACACCACGTTTATTGCTTTTCTATCACTCTTGCATCCATCAATTTCCTTCCTCGTTGTATTTTAGATAAGGCAAATACTCAGATAATGCAATCCGTAGTATATGCCAATGAAGTGTTGCTATTGCTAACACCTCCAATGATCCTCAACTACAACAAAATCTTTTTCGGCCCCTCAAAGCCCACGTATGATTTGGACCTTGTACAAGATCCATATCCAAGTGTGGCCCCTTGGCTTCAACAAATTGGAATTGATCATTTTTGGCCATTTCTGGCTCATACATTAATAATAAATGTCAATTGGAAAAATAATAATAACTCATTCTTTTTTTTCTTTTTCTTTTTTAATCAGCTTCTTTACTCTTCACTCATCTTATTAAGGATTATTTTTTTATTATATAAAAAAAGGATTCGTTTTTAATTAGAAAATATATCTAAACAATTTAAAAATGATTAGATAGTTTTACAAAAAATAATAATAATTTTAGTAATATTTTTCATAAATTAGAAAGAATAATTTAAAAAAATATATCAGAAAACCTTTTCCTTTCAAAACTTATTTGGAAGCTTGACTAAGGATATCATTGTTTTAGTTAATTCTCAAATTATTAATCTTAGTTCATCTTAATCCTCCATTTTGTTTTAATTTGTGTAATGTATAGATGCCTTTCGCTTTCATTTTTATTTTTGTTTTAACTTACATTTTTTATTTAATTTTATTTAGATAGGATTATTTTATTGGTTTAATGTTTCTTCTGCAAACTGAGATAACTCTATTTTATGATATAAGTGGATGAGCTCCATTTTTTTTTCTCTCTTCGTCATGATATCTCACTCACTTGCATCAATGTATAAGAAAAACATTAACCCCTTATTTTATACTAGTATAAAATAAAAAATTTACACTCTATCACAATTAGTCTACTTACGTTTACACAGTCAAGGGAAAAAAACAAAAAACAAGAAGTCCTTATATAATTTGAGAATATTACATTTAATGAAAACAACAAGTGGGATGTATAATCACATAGGTGATTAGGGGTGGCAATATGGGTTGAGCCCGGCGGGTTAACCCGTCAACCTGTCAAAACGGGGCGGGTTGGGTTGAGATTTTCAACCCACCAACCCACCTCAACCCGTCCCGCCTAGAAGTGGGTCAAAACGGGTTCAACCCGCCGGGTTTTAAATTTTTTTATTATTATTTTTTATTTTTTTACAATTTGGTAGTATTTCATTAGTACTTAAATTTTTGTGATATTCAATTTTTTTTTATCTTAGTACTTTCTAGAAAAAATAAAGAATAACAATTTTATTTATCACAAATGTTATCTATTTATAAATTCCTAAAGAATGTTTGACAAATATTAGTATACATTTAAGATTGAGACTAAAAAAAATATAGAGAAGTGTGAAATAAAATAAAATAATATTAAAAAAATTCATAAAATATAATTTATTTTTGAATTTTAATTAATTGGCGGGTTGGTGGGTTGACCCGCCAACCCACCATAAAACGGGGTGGGTTCATTTTTACAACCCATATTTTTTGGCGGGTCAACCCGCCCCGCCCTGTTTTTGGTGGGTTGGTGGCGGGTCGGGGCGGGTCAACCCAAATTGCCACCCCCTAGGTGATAGGTAGGCGTCGTTGGGCCGGCCTATAGGGGCTTACGGCTCGGCCTACATCAGGCCAGATCTAACCTAGTATATTTCGTAAAATAAGTCGGACTTGGGCCTTGAAAAAACTTGTTTAATAAAAAGGCCGTAGGCTCACTTTCACAAGGTCTGGCCTATAAGCCTACAGGCCGACCTATATTATACTATTTATTTTAAATAAAATAAAATAGAATAAGTATGTCTTGAAGAAAAAATAAAATATATAAATTTAATCAATTGCAATTATTTATAACTTAATTATATTCTATTATATTTTAATAGAAATCTGACTTTATTTCTTACGTAAGAGGAATCAACATCTCAGCATGTTAGATTGTGTAAAAGAATATATTAAAAGATTTTTTGGAGATGTTATACTTACTACAAGCATCATGATGTATTTGTTGGATTCACGTAGTTATTTTAATTTATATAGTATGGATTTGTTTGTTGGATCTGATGAAATATATGTTATTTAGTTTGAGCATTTTGCTTTTCAAAGTAACTTAAATGCAGATTGTATGAATTTTGTTGTAATTCATGATTCTGTTTGAACGTTGAAATTATGATTTTTGGTTTAGCAACAGAATTTGAGTATTTTGTAAAGTTGATTCATGCTTTTGCTTGGAAGTTAAAAATTAATAGGCTAACGGGCTGGGACAGGCCATTCGCTTTTTTATAAACAGGGCAAGTCAGGTTAACAATTAGACTCGTACTAGGCTTGAGCCAGACCAAATTGAAATTTTTTAATGTATCTTGGGCTTTTCGGGGCAAAGCTTAGCCCAGCTCAACCCAGTTTCACCCTTAGTGATAGGTCATTAGATTAATTTTAATTTTTTTGATAAATTTTAAATTAATCATAGCCATTGAAAATGTTAAATAGCACCTTAAAATTTCTCTTATTAAACATGAGTTAACATATTATATACACAGCTCATACTAAATTTTGTAGCAAGTATGTTTGAATTGATAAAAATAAATTAGTACAATTTGAGAACAAGGTTATTTTTTTATCTTACAAAAATTCTTTACTTTAATTTTTAATCGCCGGACAAATTTAAACTCAAAATAATAAACCTACTCTTCTCCACAGATAGGCACTTCTAGGTTTACGTTATACATATATTGAAAATTATTAACTTTTCCAATGGCATATTTGATTAAAAAAACTTTAAATATGTTTATAATTTATTCATGAAATTAATGATGTCAATTTTTTTAGTTTATATTCGTTTCAAAGGAACAATTACACTTATCATTGTTTTAGGCTTATCACTCTTCTAAGTTTCTAACCCGTTTGATTCAATATTACAAAAACTGGATCGACCTGGCCGGGCCAACCCGAAAATCGATAAACCGATCATGTAACTGGTCCGATTTTCATATGGGACCGGTCATGTTATGGAACCGGTGGGACCCAGCCAATTTTTGTAAAAACCGGTGATCCAGTTGGTTCAACCGGTGACTCAGCCCGGTTCTAAAAAAAAAACTTGATTGTTCTCATCAATTGATGTTTTTTTTTACACTCTCACACATAAATAGTTTGTTTTCTTTTGAATATTTGAGTGATCTATAGCTTATTAACTTATATAGATTATGTACCGACAACACTAATATTATATTGATTGTGCAATATGAAAGAATTTTGATTTGATTTATAGTTAGATATGTCGTCTACTGAACCTGAAATACCAGTATCACAAGTATTATATGTTTGTATGATTTTTTGTTGGACAATGATGTGTAGTTTATTATTTTCATATTAAAATATTTGAAATCGATTTATTTTTTTACAGGTATTTAAGTATATTTATAGTTCTTTTAATATAAATTATAGATTTACATATACTTACCGGATCACGTAGTTAAATCAGTGATCCAAATAATCGGGTCGGGTTTAATAATATTAATTTGATTACCATTTGATTAATTTTAAGATCAATGACAATTATTTTTCTTTTCTCTTTAAATTGTTAATTTTAAATTGATCCATCAATAAATAGATATTAAAAGTAATAAATACGAGGACAACTATAACGGGTTTTTCACCTTTTTATCCCTTATTAATTAATTAATAATCATTTTGCTCCTGTTTCGAAACTATCTACCAATCTGTCCCTCTTTGATCGACTACCTTGCATTTTTAATCGACTAAATGGAAAAAACAAGCAAAAATGGCTGTTGGGAGATTTAGTCGACTAAATCTCCCAACAGCCAACAAAGGAAAACAAGTCAGTATGATTTTTTAATCGATTAAGTAGGGAGATTTAGTCGATTAAATCTCTCAACAACCATTTAGTCGATTAAAAATGCAAGGTAGTCGATTAAAGAAGGGCAGATTGATAGATAGTTTCAAATCAGGGGCAAAATTATTATTAATTAATTAATGAGGGGTAAAATAGTCAAAAAGCCCAACTATAACATTCTCATATATAATTATGGGTTTTATGTTTATCATTTAACATAATATAACTTCACTTTCCTACACACACATTAAAGAGGTGGGGTCCACATGTTTTTCTTTCCCTTTCATCATTTCACTTTCTCTCCCCCTTTTGATGTGAGAGTTGGAAACAACACTTACACCATGTTACATAACACCAATAAAACCCATTAATTATTTAGTTATTTATTATATTAGGGTGACGTGGCAGGATAGACGTCATCCATCGGAATCACGAGAAACCCCATCCCTCCGTTAGTAAGGAGTTGCTGCAATCAATCGAACCACGTAACCGTAGTTCTGCCCAATCAACAACGAGCACGTCAGCGACAATCGAAACGAGCCGTTTCTTTTAGAGTGTTCACACTTGCGTGCAGAGCAGCCTTGTTAAAACTTAGAAACTCAAAACGGATTCAAAGTGCCCCGTGTCCTACTTCACTTTTCTTCTTCCTCACTCTTTTCTCTCTCTCCATGGTTGTTGGAGGCAGTTCAGGTTCTTGTTGGAGTTGTTGTGTGTTCAACTTTCAGAACAATTGAGTTTACTAGGTTGCTTATTAAGGAACTACTAAGTCTGCATATTTTTTAAATCCCCCCTTCTTTTTTTTTTCTCACTCTCTACATATTGAACATGAATATGGATGATGAATATGCCAAGCTTATAAGGAGGATGAATCCACCCAGGTAACTTTATCACTTTGCCTTCACTCTCTCACTCATACTTCTTTCAGGGTCTTTTCTTTTTGGACAATTTTTCATTTCCTTCCAGTAACCATCTTTAAAATAACCTTCCAAAATTTTGAATCACAAGATTTTTTTATTTTTTATTTTCTGAAGATTGTAATCAAGTGGGGCGTAGAATTAAAACTCTTTTTGCAGTTCAGATATCTTTCTTGATTTTTTTTTTTTTTTAAGTTTAGTAAGCCATGTTATGTTTCCAAAACCCTTTTTTTCTTTTAAGAATTTTTTTTTTTTTTTTTTTTGGTCAATTTTTTTCATGGACGCTCTAATTTTCTTCTCTCTCATATGTTGATGTTAGACGTTTTGGGTTTATTTCTTGTGTTTGGTGGAATTTTTACTTGTAATTTGATCTGATGATGATTATCTTCCATGTATGAATTGGTGTGCCTGTATGTGTTTGTCTAACTAGCTTCTTGCGACGCAGGGTTGTGATTGACAACAATGCCTGTGAAAACGCCACTGTTATTCAGGTAAAGCCGGTTCTTTACTCTGTTTAGGTTTCACAAAATTGAGTTGACAACAAGAAAGATTCTTTCTTTTTTCCTTTTAATTCGTTCTAATGATGGGATATGTTATGAAGTTTTTTCAAAATTATGTTTTCAACCATCCACTTTTTCACGATTGAAATATGATTGTTTGCAGGTTGACAGTGTAAACAAACATGGGATTCTCCTGGATGTTGTCCAAGTTATTTCAGATATGAACCTTGTAATAAAAAAGGCCTACATCTCCTCTGATGGGGTGTGGTTTATGGATGGTAACTTCCTTTCTTCACTAGTGGCATGCTAAAGAGAGGAAAAAGACTACAAGTATTATTATGTTGTTATTGTTATTATTATTAACTTTGTTTCTGATTCTAGTATTAATTTGATCTTGTTTTCAGTGTTTAATGTGACTGATCATAATGGAAACAAGATCAGAGATAAGGAAGTCATTGATTATATTCAGAGGGTAAGTCATATACTTGTATTTTTTATAATGCTTTGATTGAAGCTTATTTTTTGTCGCTCCATATATGTGGAAGGGTCTTTTTTTTTTGTTCTTTTCTAGAAATTTTCAAGCTAAGTAAGCGGGACACGTGTATTAGAATATGTCAATTTGAATTTGGTTCTTTTGATAGAACAATGATGTGATTATACCCTCATTTTCTGCATTGCTGATTGCATGAGCTAGCTATGAACTGGTTTACCAAAGTGGAATGGAGCAAGAACATAGTCATCCTTAATTGATGTTCATTTCTTAATTTCAATTATCTTATATTTTTTTTTTGTATCAAAATTCTGTTGGTTCCTGTATTCTTCCAGCAAAGGTTATATGAATCTGCTTGATCTATCCGGTGGACACACTGTTTGAAGTGCATGTGTTGGAAGATGATTAACTTGTGTTATCACTGTCATTCCAATTTATTTTATAGTATAGTTGACATAGAATGATAGAAAACAACTTAAAATCCTTGAAGATATTTGAAGTTCTGGATATCGTTAACATTTGAACTTATAAATACATACTGCACATGTAAGTTATCAGACCTGGTTTTCCTGACCCTGATGGTCAGTCTTCCAGAAATATGAGACTCCTAAATCTCTGCCCATTTTCACGTTACATAGTGATGCCTAATTTCAGTCCATTAAGATATAAATATCTCCTTCGTTTAAGTTATCTGTGAATCTTGTCATACTAAACTTTTGCGAATAATAGTGATAGACTGTCGAAAAAGCTTGTAGTTTCTGAATTTTTTTCTTTCTTTCTGATTTTGTAGAGACTTGAAAACAATCCCAGCTTTGCACCCTCGTTGAGAGAGAGTGTTGGGGTCGTACCTACTGAAGAGCACACTGTAATTGAACTTACCGGTATAGACAGGCCCGGTTTACTATCTGAAATCTGTGCAGTTCTCACAGACCTTCACTGCAATGTGGTGACTGCTGAGATATGGACACATAATACTAGGGCTGCAGCTGTAGTTCATGTCACAGATGATTCCAGTGGATGTGCCATCAAGGATCCATCTCGCCTCTCTATGATAAGGGATTTGCTTTGTAATGTCCTCAGGGGCAGCGACGATCCAAAGACAGCAAGAACAACACTTTCACCACCTGGAGTTACAAATAGGGACAGAAGATTACATCAGATTATGTTTGCTGACAGGGACTATGAAAGGGTTGAAAGAGCAGGACAAGGAAGACTCAGAGACAGAGATCAAAGTTCGTTCCCTCATGTAACTGTCTTAGATTGTAATGAGAAAGATTACACTGTGATTACCATGAGAGCAAAAGATAGACCAAAATTGTTGTTCGATATTGTTTGCACTCTAACTGACATGCAGTATGTAGTTTTTCATGGTGTTGTCCAGACAGAAAGGACGGAAGCTTATCAGGTTAGCCAACCTTTTGTTGTTTGTTGTTAAGAAATGATGTTTTACCTTTTTAGCTTGGTATGCTGTACTTGTTAATGTAGCTTAACTTGAATATTATTGAATTATATGGATTCTATGTGATTAGAAAAGCTGATTGACACATCAAACCTATGTTTAGCTTAGATTTTCTCTTGGCCAGCATGGATTGGTCTGACTCAGTTTGGACAACTAATTTTCTTTTTTTGCATAATTTTTCCTCTGACATGGCATTTTCTATCTTATCTAGGAGTTTTATATTCGTCATGTTGATGGCTTCCCCATAAGCTCAGAGGCTGAGCGAGAGAGACTTGTGCAGTGTCTTGAAGCAGCAATTGAAAGGAGGGCATCTGAGGTATAATAACAACACATCTAGAAGCTATGCTCCTCACTACTTTTGTTCAATGGTATGCTAAAATATGTTTATATGCAGGGGATGGAGTTGGAGTTGTGCACAGAAGATCGTGTAGGACTCCTCTCAGATATCACAAGGATATTCCGAGAGAACAGTTTATGCATCAAAAGAGCAGAAATATCAACAGAAGATGGAAAGGCAAAAGATACTTTTTATGTCACTGATGTGACTGGTAACCCCGTTGACCCCAAGATTATTGATTCAATTCGCAGACAGATTGGTGACACAGTATTGCAGGTTAAACATAACTACAGTCTTTCACCAAAGGCTCCTCAAGCGACAACAATTGGATTTCTCTTTGGAAATTTTTTCAAAGCTCGATCTTTGCAGAATTTTAAGTTGATCAGATCTTATTCTTAAGTTCCCCTTTGTATATTCTCAGCATTTTCATCATGCTTTAAGTCAAACAAAATTGTGTATACGTAGAAGAAATTGTAAATATCTATCTTTCTCCCCCGACAGAGGGGCTTGTAATCCACACTGTACAGTAGAAAACTCAAACACCTATATATATAGCCTTGTAAATAGTTGTGTAGGGGCTGGAAAACTACACTGTACAGTATATAAACACCTATGTATGTAGTCTTGTGTAAATAGTTGTGTACAGTAGAAAACTCAAACACCTATGTATATAGCCTTATGTAAATAGTTGTGTAGGGGCTGGAAAACTACACTGTACAGTAGATAAACACCTATGTATGTAGTCTTGTGTAAATAGTTGTGTACAGTAGCATGTTACCAAGGTTGTATATGGAGTAAATAGTCCTTTCAGATTATAAAGTCCATAGACCTAAACAGTACATTTAGGTGATGTCATTTGGAGCATATGTAAATTTGGGTTTGTACATGGAGTAAAGAGTACTTTTAGGTGGTGTAATTTGGAGTAGATGTAAATTTGTGTTGGTAAATGAAATTAAAATGGAAAGGTGTAATATGTACTCTATTTTCTCTCTTTTTTTTCAGACCTAACCTGTAACTGCCTGCACCTAGTAATGCTATTTGCATAATGATTGATAAGATTGAATAATTACTTAAGGTTTGATTGCCATTTTTTTTTAATTATCTACATACCATGATCATTTTCTTTTTTCCTGGTTTTTGAAGCATTTAAAATTTTGGTATGACAGTCTTCGTCACTTCATTACTAAAAAGAATTTGTGTCAAGTGAGCTTAAACTGTGTGCCTTCGTATTCCCCTTTCTTAGAATTACTTGCACTCCACCGGTTGAAAGCTAAGCATTGGAAAGAAACATTTTGTCCTCTTTCATACACTGTAGCCAAATTCAGAATATTAGTTTTTAATTATTAGTGAAAGAAGCATGAGATGCAAGTCCTTCAACACACGGCTTGCATACTCTAGTTTGACTGATCCAGCGCCATTTATTTCTACTAATAAAACCCCTTTTTTGTCTACAACATTTGATTATAGTTTCAATTACCAAATTTTATAACACAACTATGTTTTGAGATACTCGAATTCAATATTATTGGTTAAATTGGAATAATTTCTTATCAGTTGATCTATGTATTTGGTAGTTCAATTATGTTTTGTGTTACTAGATCACTTCAATATCATCCTTTTGTCGGACACTATCCAAATTATCAATGGAGAGTGTTAACCTGATATGGCTAATTGAGATCACACATAAATTGCGTCTAATTTGGAACTAGATTGAAACTGCGCAAATTTAAAGGATGAAAATAGGATTTTAACCTTGCAACTTATTTACAATTGTTGTAGACCTATCTTTACCACTCCTACAAATAAATCTTTGATGCTATTGTTGCACCTAGATTTAGTATATCTTATCAATAAGAGCATTACATATCAGAGGAGAGAGAAAAAATTTGGTATAAAAAAGAGAATTTTAACTGACATGTAATGCTCCTATTGATGGAATGTACTGAATCTTTGGTGAAACAGTAACACCAAAGATTTATTCCACTCCTACGCCTCTTCCATTATACACTCTCTTATAGGCAAGGAAGCACGAACACTTGTAAAAACAGGGAGAGTCGTGTCCGACACGGTGTCGGACACACGGTCAACTTTTTCCGACACGTTGACCATTCCGACACGCGAATTTGACCGTGTCCGACACGGTCAAATGACATTTTCGTAATTTTTTTTTTTAATTTTTTTTAAAAAATTATTTTTTTTTAAAATTAAATATATTAATAAAGCTTCCACATGATCATATCAATTTTATTTTATTTTTGTCTTTTTTCCCCTTAAATATATAAGAGATCATCTCAGCATCATTGTTGTCAATTCCTATCACGTTCTTGTTGTATCTCCTTGTCTCTAATCTCTCTCTCTAATATGATTTGATCTCTCTATCTGATATTATATCTCTCTCATCCCAGTTCTTATTTTTTTTATTAAAGCTTCCATCTTTATAACGTGTTGATGGGTATTATTAATTTAGTTTTATTTTTTGTTAAATTATTAAATATTAAATGAAATATACACTTTATAAATTAAAAATATTATATAATATTAAAACGTGTCCCAACGTGTCAAAATCTATAATTTATTAAAATTAACGTGTCAGAGTGTCGTATCGTGTCACGTATCACGTATCGCGTATCACGTATCACGTGTCGTATTGGTGGTACATGTAGAAGATAGTGCGTCTAAGGTAAGAGGCATATAGGCGTGCCTCATGAATGAGGTGCAAGACCCTTGTTTATAAGCGACGACAGCTAGGAGTCCCAAAAAAGCTAGGTTTTCTCCCTTAGTGGCCCAAGTGGATAATAGACTAGAGATAAGACCATAACAAAAATCAAATGCATCCCCGTCTTCTTGTTCAATTTTATTTTTATTTTTTTATTTTGTATACCCACCCTACCCTAATTAACATCTTCTCAAATTTAGGAATTAAAGTTTTTAGTTGCCCAAGGTCAAAATCATTTCTCAAAAATTAAAACACTCATTGTATCTTCTCAGTCAATTAAGAACACCACACTTCACCCTATCTCAACACTTTAGACACAAACCTCCGCAATAATTGTCAGTCATTGAAGCACCATCGTCCCCTTTGTTGCTGTCTAAGTTGCCATTACTACGGTCCCCTTTCCCCTGTGTTTCTCTCTTTATGCCTAACTCTGTTAACAAAATTAAGCCAAACAATGGAAGTGGATAAACATATTATTGAGGTGATGCAAACATATTGAATATTCAAGTTTCTAGGTAATTATTATGCTTAAGTTCTTGCAATGGAAAACCCTAACTACTAGAAATGTATATGATTTTAAGTAAATTTAAGGCGAAGACCTTATTTTCATCCTTAATGTTTGACCACAATTTTAATTTAATTTGGGACACTATTAGAGAAGCATGTAGAATTCACATGTGATCCCAACGAGCCACATTAACTCTATATCAGCAATCTTTGAGTGTTAGCCACATGAACTTGGAGAAGGAGAGATTTGAAAAGGGAAATAGAAGGAAAAACAAAGAGGGGAGCGATGAAAGGTGCAGCAAAAGATTTGGCAAATGGAATAAGCAAGGCAGTGATATCAGCCTCAAAGAAGCACAGCAATGGAAGGGTTTGTTCATGGAGTCCACATGTGGAACAAACGCTACACAATCTGGGTTGGCGACACATGCTAACACCATCATTGGTGGCCACTGTCATCGACCCTTTGCTCCTCACACACCCTTCACTCGCTTTGGGATTCTTCAATTGGGCCTCTCAGCAACCTGGCTTCACCCACAACCCCATCACCTACAATTCCATCCTCAAATCTCTCTCACGTACCCGTCACTTCAATGCTATTGATTCCCTTCTCAAAGAGGCCAAAGCTCTCAACTTTCCCATCCACCCTTCGGTTTTGGGCTCTATAATAGCTTCCCACATTGCCGGGAACAACACCCAGAAAGCGTTTTCTGTGTTCAGTGGCATTTCTCCTCTTTGCACGCAAATTGGGAGCCCCACGTGTAACTCGCTATTGGCGGCTCTTGCCTCTGATGGGTACTTGGATAGTGCGCACAAGGTGTTTGGGGAAATGACTGTGAGAGGTGTGCCTTTGAGTACGCTCGGTTTTGGGGTGTTCGTTTGGTGGGTTTGTAGAGAGGGTGATTTGGTGAAAGTGTTGAGTGTGTTGGATGGGGTTAGGGAATGTGGGTCCGAGATTAATGGTTCTGTTATGGCGGTTTTGATTGTTCATGGGTTGTGTTGTGCTTCCAGGGTGTCAGAGGCTTTGTGGATGTTGGGTGAACTGAGGAATAGGGGTTGGAAACCTGACTTCATGGCTTACAGGATTGTTGCAGTGGCGTTTCGGTCAATGGGAAATGTGGCTGATGAGGTGAAGGTTTTGAAAATGAAGAGGAAGTTAGGGGTGGCTCCAAGAAGTAGTGATTATAGGGACTTGATACTTGCCTTGATTTCGGAGAGGCGGATTTGTGAGGCAAAAGAACTTGGGGAGGTTATAGTTGGCGGTGATTTTCCTGTTGAGGATGATGTTCTCAATGTGTTGATAGGATCAGTATCAACTATTGATCCTGGAGCAGCAATTGTGTTTTTCAATTTCATGGTTGAGAAAGAGAGGTTCCCAACTATGTTGACTGTAAGCAATTTGAGTAGGAATATGTGTAGGCATGGAAAGGTTGATGACTTATTGGAGGTATTCCATGTTTTGAATTCCCATGATTACTTCAAAGATGTGGAGGGTTACAATGTGATGGTATCATTCTTGTGCAAGGGTGGGAGAGTAAAAGAAGGCTATGCTGTTCTTCAGGAGATGAAGAAGAAAGGGTTCAGCCCCAACGTCTCGTCTTATAATTGTGTGATGGAAGCGTGTTGTAAGGAGGATCTACTGCGTCCTGCAAGGAAGCTTTGGGATGAGATGTTTTCAAGTGGCTGCTGTGGGAACTTACAAACATACAACATTCTTATACAGAAATTTTCTGAAGTGGGACAAACTGAAGAGGCTCAAATGCTCTTTAACCACATGATGGACAAGGGGGTTGCACCTGATGTTACAAGTTACACTTTTCTCTTAGAAGGGCTCTGCCAAGAAGACAAGCTTGAAGCAGCTTTTGAGCTCTACAATAAATCGATCAAACAAGACGTTATCCTTGCAAGAGACATATTGAACTCGTTTATATTATCACTCTGCAGGAAAGGTATTGTCAACTTGAACAACAGAACAAATATTTGTAACTTGCCATGCTGCATACTACGATGATTTGTACATTATCAAATGCTTGGCTTGTCTGCTTGCTGCTTCATGTAACAATTTAACATGTTATATTGTATGTTTTTCCATGCAGGACATCTCATGGCTGCTTCCAAGTTACTTTGCAGTCTCAATCATGATATGGGACATGCACAATCCCATTTAACTTTGTTAAAATATTTGGCAGATGCCAAAGAGATTCCAATTGCCATTGAGCATTTGACATGGGTTCAGGAAAGGTCACCTTCGATGGTACAAGATATATGCGCTGGACTTTTAGCTTCTCTTTCTTCTGCAACATGCCCGGAGCCAATTTTACAGTTTCTTCAAAGAATACCACATATGTTTGATTTCCCAGGTAAGAGTACTTTGAAGGATATATGCCACTGATGATTAAGGTGTGAGAAGGCTATCGGATTTGAGTACAGTTGGATCAGTGCCCGTGCAACTAAGGGTATAAATGGTTAGGTGGTCTATCGGGGCCCGTATATACCATCCCCCACTTGGCCTATTATATCTAGTAAAATAAAATAAGTTCAAACTTTAGGAAAAAACCTATTTAGAAAGCAGGTCGTAGGCTTTCTTTTACAAGGCCTGGTCTATAAACCTACAGGCAGACTTATATTATATTACTTATTTTAAATAAAAATATTATTTAAATAATTTTGAATAATAAAATAATATTTTAATTATTTTTTTAATTCTTGAGTACCTAATAGACTTAAACAGGCAAATAGATATATGCCTGACCTTTTACTTTTAAATATAGGTTAGGTCAGACTTATAATTTAGTTTACATCAGACTAACAAATCAGGACAGACTTCAAATATTTTACATATGCCTGACTTATCTAAGTCAAAGTCTGACCCAGTCCAGCCTCATTTGCACCCCTACGTGCAACCTAATTAACAAAACCTTCACCGTAAGTGCATTTTAACAAGCTTTTGGAAGTGAAGATCAATTGTAGGCATCTTCATTTTTTTGCAAAAAGTGTTTTTTGGACTCGGAACCGTAACTTTCCGGTCATAAAGAACAACGTTACCTCTGTTCCGAGACTTGCCCCCATATATCAGCAATAAAATAAACATAAAGGAAAGCAGAAACATTATGAAAAACAACGATGCCTATTTCCATCGTATAACCTTAGTTGGCAAGAAAAGAATATCTACATAAGTATATTCTTCCCTTAGCGTATGACTCCAACAAATTTTCCAAGAGTTTGATCCAAGCATCAAATGGATTTCATGGACCATGGGTCACACAGGAGAAGGTTGTCACACTTACTCAAAATCATATTTAACGCTCATTGGAATCAACTTCCATGATCACTTGAGTGAGATGGAGAGACTTTCTGATCTTAAAGGCTATGAAAAATCCCACATAAATGAGCATAGCTTATGGACTTTGATCCCACGTTGCATGAGATGCCAGTAACAAAATAGTTTCAAGGCCATGTCCATAAATGGAACACATTGGGGACCGAGCGATATGTGTTCTAAATGCAAAAATGATAGAAAGATATTAAACAAAGAACTTCCAAAATTTTATTAAATAGTGGACACTTCAGTTAAAAGCGCGAGTTTGGAGTAGTGGTAAAATTGTTCCTTGAAAGGTTATAGATTCGAATTTAGGAAACACAATCTTTACAATTATGTAAGCCTAAGGCTGCTGGTTGCCCCCACCTCATCCTTGCTAGTCAGGATTTAATGGGGAGTGATAGTGAAAGATAAGTAGTTTTACTTTCCATCCTGATATGTTTCTAGAAATGAAAAAGAACTGGGCTTGACAGTTGACACAATCCCAAAAGTAAGCTAAAAGGAAAGGATTGCTCATGGTCATTATAAAGTTTATTTTGTTTATATACTCAGCTAACTGTGTGATCTTAACAAGATGGATGCATTTGAATATATTCTTGTGCAGTGGTGAACCATGCCATGCAAAATGGTCTAGAGTGACCTCAATTTTACCCTTAACTTCATTCCAACTTTTCTAGACGCCCTATAATAAATTAGAGATGTTCCTCTTTCTTTCTACGAAAGGAACAACGTCTGCACCAGAATTAGAGTGTTGAGTTCGTGACTCATTTTTTTTAATTAAGTGGTGGGGTTCATGTGTTTTTTGAATTGAAAATAAACAAAAGAAAGAGAGCATCCGAGAATTGAAAGAAAGAGAGCATCAAGTAGTGAAAAAGGAAAAAGAAAAATAGAGGGAGAGCACAAGCACAGGGGAGGAGAAAAAGAAAGAAGAAAGGGTTTTTCTCTGGCAAATCCAATTGTGAGATTTCATCGGATTAAGCTCATATTTCAGGGGGAGTGTTCATGGCATCTAGTACTTCACGTCCACCGGTCATTTTGCGGTTTAGAGGTCTCTATAGCCACATATTTGGTTTCCCTTTTTGGAGCTTCTTTGGTGACTTTTCTCCTTACTCTATCCATTGATTTCCATCTATTTGATGATATTGTTGGATTCCTCTATTGTTATATATAGAGATAATATTGTGTATGTTTACCCGTTATTATTGATTGTTGATACTAGAGATTTTTGTGACTCCAATAAAGGTCCTGTGATCTTTCTTTTCACATTGAGTTTTCCACGTAAAAAATTCTTATGTGTCTGTTGTTACTGTTGTTATTGTTGCTGTTGTTTTTGTGTTATAAGTTTACTTTTATTTGCATTTGGTTATTGTGTTGGCCCCCAACAAAGTGGTATTATCAAGAGCTTTGGTTTATAATTGTGGATGTTTGAAGTGTAAATTGAAATGGAAGGTAGCCCAAGCTCCATGCTTAAACTCAATGGATCAAATTGGTTGATTTGTAAGCTTACAATGGAAGATTATTTATTCTGCAAAAACTTGTATGAACCCGTTGAGGGTAATGCTAAGCACCAACTCGGATGTCAGATGCAAAGTGGAATAAATTGAATAGAACAACAATTGGCACAATTAGACAATGGTTGGATATTAGTGTTATTCATCATTTTGCAAATGAGACATCTGTGAAAGAACTTTGGAAAAAGTGGCAACTTTGTATGAGAGAAAAATAACTGGGAACAAAGTAATGTTGATGAAAAAGCTTGTAAACTTGAAGTATAGGGGTGATATCACTATTAGTGAACATTTGAATGAGTATCAAAATATAGTGAATCTGTTGAGCACAATGAAGTTAACACTTGAGGATGGGTTGCAAGTTTTACTGTTGATGAGCTCTTTACCAGATTCTTGGGAGACCTTTTGGTATCTGTTAGTAATTCTGCTCCAGAGGATAAACTGTCAATGAGTATGGTTACTATTGCACTGTTGAATGAAGAACAAGGGGAGGAGCAAAGAGAAATTTAATAAAGGTCATTATCGAGGCATGAGTCGTGGAAAGTCACATAACTAATCAAAATCTAGAGAAAAAGTCAGATGTTACCATTATGGCATAGATAGGCATATGAAGAGGAATTGTCGGATTTGGAAAAGAGAGCAAAATATGAAGATAGTAGCCAGAGGAAAAATAATGATAAGAACACAACTGGTATAGCTTTTGATGAGGCAATGTTGCTTTTTCTTTTAGGCAAATACCATTGTTTGCACGTGTCAGAAAATCAATTTGAATGAGTGATTGATACAAGAGCTTTTTCTCATGCTACTCATACTAAGGATTCCTTCATTAAGGACAAGGCAGGAGACTTTGGAACTATGAAGATGGATAATACTAGTTTATGCAATATTGTGAAAATTGGTGATGTTTGCGTAACAACAAACATGGTTTATACACTAACACTAGAGGATGTACGACATGTTCCTGAGTTATGTAACGCCCCGTTGAACACCCGATTCGTTATCATTTCGTATGATATTAAGCGCAATTACAATCATAATGGTTAAATTGAAAATATGGTTAAACTTTTTCTTTTCCAGCATGGACGTTTCCATTAAAATCATTACCATATTTGAAATAGCCAGAAATGTAATTATAACTCATATACATTTGCGGAATAATTAAATCCTAATGTTTGTATATCATACTACACTTATTTACTGATGTTAAGTGGTTTCCATAAACCAACAAAGCCAAATTCAAGATTCAACAATTTTCAACACTGACCTAGTCTCGGTTTTTCCTAAACTGGAATATATCCACTTGACCATAAATTTCCATCTTTTAGTATGTTATTCTAGACTTCTTAAGCTTTACAACGACATATTACACGCCTTCATAGGAGTTGTATAACTCCATATATGTCTGTCGTAAGTTAATTAACTAAAATTGCTGACAGTGAACACAGGGCAGTACGTAAATCTCAAAACAAGGGCATATTCCCATGCCCAGAATTATCTTAACTTTTTTTTATTTTAAATTAGACACCTTGGGCTTTAATTTGACATATCATACGCCTCATTTCGTTGAGAAACGAAGAAGATATGAATTTTACAAAATCCAAACAATATGCTGTCAACATAGGGCGATAATGAGCAACGCTCACTCTTGTCAAAATTGGGCTGGCACCCATAAAAATCTCATCTTTTGGGATAAGAAGTTAGACACCCTAAGCTTTAATTTGATACCTCACACACATCATTTGGTTAAGAAATTAGTGAGATATGCCCTTTCAAAATTTGTACTCTCAAGTATACAAAATTTTGACAGCACTTCCTTGCTCTTATGTCCAAACGTTTTCTTACCTAATTGACAATTTGATAACATGTACATACATTTATCTTGCCAATTCAAGGACTAATCCATTGATTTATCCATGAACCAACTTCAGTCGTACCAATCATGCAAATCACACAAAGGTCCATCCATGGATCATTTACATCAACTATATATGTACAAATTGTATCTCCAACGACGAAACCAAATATACAACATAACGTCAAGTAAATAAATACATATGTCATATGAGATATCTTGTACATGCTCTCTAAACATATAGCATAGGCATATCCAAAGGCATATACTTCTCATATGCTCTCAAAATACATAATACACAAAATAGCAACAATAGCAGCATGCATTAAAAGACAATCTACAGTGGCCTCCTGCCAATAGATGCTCCTGCACCATCAGTACCTGAGAAATGGTGCCTCGAAATATGGTGATATATATGTATCTATACATATATATCTCATTAAACTAACGGTCATTGGAGGATTCCTCCACCCCAAAGTTCACTGCTAGTGTAAAAGCAATAATAGAATAATGCATCATATATATATATATATATATATATATATATATATCCATGCAATGTGTAAAATATATCCATGAGACATCCCTACGACACTCTCGCCATCCATAGGATACTCAGATATAAAATAGTCCTACTGATTAGGGAATCTACCAAGTATAAATTACGCATCGTCATGCAACACACAGACATAAGAAACATGTTGTTGAGAAGCAATCTCACAGTTGTTGAGAAGATAAGATGCATGTTGAGATGGTTGCATTGCCAAAGTCCTTTTGGGGAAAAGCTGTTAGCACTGCCTGTTATTTGATGAACAGATCTCCCTCAGCTCTATTGAACTCGGATATTCCAAAAATGGTATGTAGAAGGAAAGA